TTCAGCGCTTCGCGTATCAGCCGAGAGGTGCTGACTCTGGTAGGCTCCTCTCTCTCCGTCTTGATGCCATCCTGGTTGGCCGTCGAACCTGCTGCTGGGCACCTGTCTCGCCTTGTGCTGTCCGAAGGGGGCGCTGCGCCGCATCCTCTGGCATCGTGGCATCACGGACAGTCCGGTCATCAGCACCAGCACCAGCAGTCGTACCGGCTTCTGCTCTCGGTGCCTCCGCTGGAGCCGCTGGGGCGGACCCCTGGCTGCCGGAGCCTGCTGAAGTCGCCTGGCTGCCGGCTCCCGGCGTCGGCTGCGCAGCTGAGGCTTAGGCGCCTGGCTGCTCCTCCGACGTGCGCTGGCGCTTGGAGCCGTGCCGCTTCCGCATGGAATCCGCCTCCCCGCGAAGCTACCCCTGGTTGCTGACCGCTTCGCCGAAGCCGAAGAGCTCCTTGACCTTGCCCTGAAGTTTCGCCGCGAATCTTGATTGGAGATCCTCCAGCGCCTTCTTTTGCCGCTCGTCCTTCCTAGGCCTTTCGTCGAGAAGGCCGCGCCTGCCTCGAAGGTGAACTCCTCGCCATTAAACAACCGCGTGATATTGGAAGTTGTTGGGGGATCGGGAGGAACTGGCATGTGCACACCTGTCCGCGCGGGCAACGCCTCCTGGAGTGCCTCTTCTGCCTCGGCCTGAGCCGGTGCACGCTGGTAGGCCGCCTCGTCCGTAGCCCTCCTGCGCTCGTTGTACCACTCGAGCGCCTTGCGTTCACTCTCCGCCGCTTTTTCTAGAGCCGCCTTGGCCCTCCGTTCCGCTGCCTTCGCACTGTTGCACGCCTCGCGAGGCGGCTCGACCTCGGGCGGCGCAGGGGGCGGGTCCAGCGTGAGGGTGGCCAGGGCCTGGGCGACGTGGGGAGCGGCGGCCTGGAGAGTCTGGAGCAGTTCTTCAGGTGACTTCTCCACTGGCTGCTTGCTCCACTCCCCGCTCTCGTTGCCGCGCCCTTTGCGAGCACGTCGAAGCTTCGTCCACTCACTCCACGACGGCCACCCTGCTTCTTGCTCCAGCGAGCGCTGAAGCATCTTCTCCTAAGCTCCATGGTCCATGGACAAGTGTCGATCTCCATGGCGGTGGCAACTCGAGTGCCTGCTGCACTTGAAGCACGAGTCGAGGCTCTTCCAGGTACACTAGTACCCGCATGACCCACAATTGGGATATCCACCTATGACACTGACCTTCTCGAAGTGCTCAGCAGAGCTCACTAGCCCCACCTGGCTGCAGGTGATGTACGATCCACAGAGCTCACCGACCTAGCCTTGCCGAAGACCGGGTCCCTGCCCGGGGAGATACAGACGAATGGATGTGACATTGGGCGCGGATCAGCGGTGTCCGTGTGGTCTACAGGGGAACCAAGATCCTTGAGCCAAAATGGCTACGGAGGAGGAGGGGCAGGAGGAGGAGGAGGAGTAGGAGTAGGAGTAGGAGTAGGAGTAGGAGTAGGAGGAGGAGGAGGAGGAGGAGGAGGAGGAGGAGAAAGAGGAAGGGTCGGAGAAAGAGATGGAGGGAGGGGAAGGGAAGGAAGGAGGGCGTGAGAGAGGGAGAGAGGAACGGAAGTGAAGGAGGAGGAGGAGGACGAGGAGGAGGAGGAGGAGGAGGAGGACGAGCAGGGCGAGGACGAGGACGAGGAGGGAGGATGAGTTTGAGGAGGAGCTTGAGGAGGAGTTTGAGGAGGAGGAGGAGGAGTAGTAGGAGGAGGAGGAGGCGGAGGACAAGAAGGATGAAGGGTCGGAGGTTGGCCCAGACAGGTACTGTCTTGCTTCGGGGGGAAGATCACAGTGGACAATACGATCGACGCCCGCCTCCATCTGGTCATGGAGCAGGACGAGCTGCCCAGCAGTCCCTTCCTCCCCCTCCACTCTGGGTCAATTTCGATCCGATCGACCCGATTCGATATCGATCCTGGCCGGCTCGATCCGACTCGATTCCGATTTCCCATTGATGCAATGTGGTCCGACGCTTGCATGGCGCTTTTGTGCATCCTGGCCACGCCGATTCGATTCGATTTCGACTTCATGCAAATGCAGCCCGATCCGACGCACATGTCGACTCGATCCGGTTTCCCGATTCGATGCTGACTGTTTCTGCCTGCACTCCCTTTGCCTTCGGATATCGTGATACCAGGCTGGGACGCACTCGAGGTCGTACGGGTTGTGCTCGTAGTCGTGATTGCCGATGCACCGTGTCATAGGGACCAATACGAAGATAATGACACGCAGTATCGCGCAGTGGCACTATCGTGATAACTATGAGCCCGTACGCTTCTTGATGTAACTTAGAGCACCATGCATCAGTCGAGCCAGAACGGCAGTGGGCGGCAGCAGCAAGAGAAAACGAGGTGAACATATTCGATGCACGTCAGCTTTGCAATCGCCTCCGGTCCTTAGATCGACAAAGGCACGCGACGGGTTTGTATAATTGCGCCCCACAATTGTTCGCGCCTTGGCTCATGTCGAGTATAGCCAGGTTTGATCGCAGACGCATCAAGAAACACACGCAACCCAAACCACGCTTTGCACGCTCGTGAGAACGGCGCGTGTGGCGTGGGCTTTCTCCCACGTTATCGAAGATGCCTCTGGCGAGTCGCCACCACCTCTGCCCTCTGGACACGCTTGTGTCCTGACATGTCGGACTGCGTGTTGCCCGAGCTGTCGGGGAGCCACTGGGAGAACATTGGTGAGGGGCCTTCTGGGGCTGCCTTGGTGCAGTCTTGGGGCTCTTTTCGATCCCTTCGGGGCTTCTTGAGGGCCTCCTGGGGCGCTCTCGGGCCATCCCGGGGCTCTCTTGGGCCATATTAGGGCGTCTGCCTTGGGGGCCTCTCTGGGCTGTCCTGGGGCCTCGGCAGTTTTGTGCGCTGAAGACCGAGATTGCGAGAATCCGACCAAGATAGGAAGACACTAAGCACATATGTGAGGTTTGCCTCACAATACTTGAAGGCAACTTTGGACAGGCCGACCAGTTGCCGAGGAGGGCCGTCTTCGGCCGTCTTGAGCTCTTGAGGCCTTCTTCGGAGTCCGTTGGGGCCGTCTTCGATGCGTCTTGGGCTTTTTCTGGTGGCGTCCCTGTGGTAATCATGTGACAACCTTGAGCGGCCAGGAGGGCGAATGACCCCCCCACCAGTTTTTGTCAGGTCCCCCCGCCTGGTAGACAGGGGACAACAGACAACGCACAAGACTTTGCCCCCGCAGTTGCGGACAAGAGTGATGGGGCGGGGACGAGGGCGGTCGTTGGCATGTTGCGAGGCTCGGAAGCAAGGGTGACGAAGCCCGCCGCAGGGTCCCTCTATATGGTCCCTCCGCATAGTGCCCACAGTATGGTCCCTCTGCATGGTCTCCCCGTGTGGCCTCTTCGTGTGGTCCCCCCGTATGGTCCCCCCTGTGTAGTCTCCCTGTGTGATGCCACAAGATGTTCATCCCACGTGGTCTGTTCGTGTGGGTCCCCCGTATGAGCCACTCGTATGGTTCCCCCGTGTGGTCCCCCATATGGTTCCCTCCTACAGTTCCTCCCGAGTGGTCCCACCGTATGGTCCCCAACATGGTCCCCTCGTCTGGTTCCCCCGAGTGGTGCCCCCATATGGGCCCCTCATATGGTCCCGCAGCGAAGTAAGACCGCTCGGCAACCCTTCCCTCTTTCGAAAGAAGCCACGGCGTCACCCCAGCAGTACGTTGGCATCCTTGCGCCCAGAGAGGGCCGGCGGACATGATGCCCTAGCACAGCGCAGAGAAGCGCGAGGCGCGGGAAACAATTCATGTACTCGCGAGATGTGCTATACGTGATCCTCAGAGCAACCTGGAGAGAAGGAGGAACGAGGGGGGAAGGGGGAGGAGGGAGCAGAGGAGGGAGCAGATGATGAGGAGGAGGAGGTGGTGGAGCAGGAGGAGGAGAAGGAGGAGGAGGATGAGCAGAAGGAGGAGCAGGAAAATAAGAATGGGGAGGGGGAGGGTCAGAGGGAGGGGGAGGGGGCAAGCTATGTGCGATCGCGTCATATCTGACGTCCTACCCCTCCCTCCCATTCCTTACCATAGCGCGAGGACGCGGGAAACAATTCATGTACGCGTGTCGTGCTGTGAGCGTCCGCTATGTGCGATCGCGTGACGTAGCGCTGTGTGTCGTGGTGGTGCGTGCGTGCGTGCGTGCGTGCGTGTGTGCGTGGTTGTGGGTGGTGGTGGTGGTGGTGGTGGTGGTGGTGGTGGTGGTGGTGGTGGTGTGTGTGTGTGTGTGCGCGTGTGCGTGTGCTGTGGTGTGACGTGGTGTGGCGTCTTGGTGGTTTGGTGGTGGGCCAGATGCGTGCGTGCGTGATGGCGGTGGTGGTGTGGTGGTGGTGGCGGTGGTGGTGGTGGTGGTGGTGGTGTGTGCGTGTGCGTGTGTGCGTGCGTGCGTGCGTGCGTGCATGCGTGCGTGCGTGCGTGCGTGCGTGCGTGCGTGCGCGCGTGCGCGCGTGTGTGTGTGTGTGTGTGTGTGTGTGTGTGTGTGTGTGTGTGTGTGCGTGCGTGCGTGCGTGCGTGCGTGCGTGCGTGCGTGCGTGCGTGCGTGCGTGCGTGCGTGCTCGAGAGTAGCTCTTTGCTTTGGTCAGGAAAATGACAGTGTTTCGGCGTTGCCAGTCTAGCTTTGCAGTTTCCAATAATTTGCAGGGGTCCTCGTAATTTCACTTGATGCCCGTGGCCGCCCGCGGATCGGAGATCCCCTGGCGGCAGCCTCTTAGGCCCCCAGAGTCTCTCGGTGGCGTGCCACCTGGCCGCCTGAGATGAAAAAGGGAGCATCTTCCTCCTCCTCCTCCTCCTCCTCCTCCTCCTCCTCCTGGTTCTCGTCCCCCTCCTCCTCCTCCTCCTCCTCCTCCTCCTCCTCCTCCTCCTCCTCCTCCTCCTCCTCATCTTCCTCTTCCTACTTTTCCTCCCCTTTGTTCTCCTCCATATCCTCCTCGTCGTCGTCGTCGTTCTCTTCCTCCTCCTTCTCCTCCTCCTCCTCCTCCTCCTCCTCCTCCTCCTCCTCTTGGTCCTCCTCCTCGCAGCCGGAGCCCTTGGCCCAACCTGGTCGGCCTGCAGGACTCGGCCAGAACCTCGGCGACAATGGCCCCGATGCGCAGCGCCGCTGTTTGCCTCGCCGCGGTCGGCGCGTGGAACTTGCTCTCGCAGGCCTTCGTGTCCCCCGGGCTGGGCAAGTCGTCTCGCGCGGGCCGCGTGGCCATGCGAGCAGCGGAGATCGAAGAAGAAACAGCTGCACAAACAGAAGCCTGCCCGAACTCTTCGCAAACTTCTTGGGTCGGCTCATGGGCCCCCCCTGGCGGCGCCAGAAGCCCCTGGCGCGCTCCGTGCGCCAGGGATGGCGGGTCCAGCGCCGATCCAAGAAATTCGCTCAGAGTTCCGATCGTTTTTGTTTGTGCCGTTTTTGTTCTAGGAGAACACGGCCGGCGGCGGATATCCGAGGGGCCCCTTGGTGGTGTACATGAACGCGCTCATGGACGCGGCCGCGAAGTCTAGCGAGAGCGTGGTAGTCACGAAGGACGTGATGAGGTACAAGAAGCTTTCGGAGTCGATGGACGGGGACATGAAGTTCGAGTTGACGGCGGCGCTCAACGAGCCGGCCATCAGCTTGACTGGGCAGGCTGCAGCCATCGTCAGCGTCATGGGCCCATGGGAGTCCACCGTGTTCCCCAAGTTCGTCACGTTCCTCGCCAAGAAGAGGCGCATCAAGCAGCTGAGGGCGATTTGCGAGGAGTACGTGTCGCACCTGTACCATCAGCAGTCCATCGAGCCCGTCACTGTGTTCTCGGCGACGCAGCTAACGGACGAGCAGGTTGATAAGATCAAGGCGAAGATGGCGGCGAAGCTCCAGGTCCGCGATATCAAGCTCGTCCAGAGGGTCGACATGAGCCTCCTCAGCGGCTTCAAGATCGAGTGGGGCTACACGGACCCGGAGAACCCGCTGGTCGGCGCCGAGTCGATCGATTTGTCCCTCAAGTCCGCGCTCGAGGAGGCCGCCATCTCCGCGCGCTGAGGGGCGGGCGGCACCACGCCAGCGAGGGGGCCCCAGAGCTCTACAGGCCGCGAGACCATGCCCCAACCCCCCTGGCATCCCACTGCTCCCTCCCTCCATCCCTCCCCTCCCCTCTCCTCCCGTCCTCGGAAGGGGGGGAAGCGGCACTACCATCACCAGCGGGCCACCTCCAGCGAGGAGGCCCACGATGCCCTCCCGAGCGGGAGGCTGCAGGAGCCTCGGCCAAGGCGACGCGGGACACCAGGACCACACCACCAAGGAGACCCTTCCTGGCTCCTCGTGATGATGGCGGTGGTGTCGAAATTCCTTGCTCCTGCATCCCTCCCCAGGGTCCCTATCGATTCGATCGCTGGCCCGATCCGATCCGATTCCGATATTCTGGCTGGCGCAGTCGATCCGATTCGATTCCAGCCAAGTGCCGATTCGGCCCGCTCCGACGCACACTTCGATCCGATCCGATTTCCAGGTTCGAGGCCGACCGTTCCTGCCCTCCCCTCCGGTCCCTCTCTCGATGAGACGTAAGAGTGATTTTTCGCCAGGATGACCTTTGGGTGCGGGCCTAATGGATCCCCCGATCGCTGAACGTGACGCGGTAGCGGCGGCTTGCGCGCCCAGGTTTGGCCACTCCGCGCCCCCTGGTATCCAGTGCACCTAGGGCCACTCCTGCGTGTAACCGACTCTCCTCCCTCCCTCCCCCTGTGATGGGCCGATTTTCCACCACCACTACCATGGGTAAGAGAGGGATGATGATGATGATGATGATGATGATGATGATGATGATGATGATGATGATGATGATGATGATGATGATGATGATGATGATGATGATGATGG